CTGAGTATAACATCACAGGTTGCCAATGCCATCTCTTTCGAATTACAGTAGTTTATGGCGTGAACACAGCATAAACTGGTTGTTTTGGTTCAGGAGGAACTGTAAACACAGGAACGGTGCTCGTGACTAGTGTCTGTGTAACTCTGTATAGCATTAAACGCGCTGATGACGAGCGATGTCTGTGTGAGCAGGTGCGCGGAGGTGTGGAAATACATACACTCACAGGACGAATATTTTATGGTCCTACACCTTCTGCAGATTATATACAAATACATTAAGACCATTCAGGGGTTTCTGTTTTTCTCGTAAATGTTAAATTGGACTTTTCTATGCATGCTCTTTGAGGTGGTGACCATAGACCTCCATTATATGACTGACAGACAAACGGTTTGACCTAAAAATATCAAAATTGAAAATACTGCGGAAACAAAGACACCCACATCTTGGATGCCCTTGAGGTAAGCTAAAACATATCAAAAATTAATTTCAAAGTGAACTATCCCTTTAACAAAGGGGTTCGTGATATTGGGCGTATATATGACACACATGTGCGTTCAGAGCACGCGCTCCCATGATACATGTTCATATTCATATTAAGGTCAAAACTACTACATTTCTTCACATCATATACATCATAATTCCCAGACAACACATGTCTGCTGAAAGGATTAAGCACGTGCGATTAAAGTCCTCTTGGAAAACGATCACGGGCAAATATGATCCTGTCTCATGTAGTTTATTTGTATAGGCCTATGTATTTTACTTAAAGGTGAATTCAGGTTGATTGGGACACTTTTCCCCAGTCATCTCAATGGACCCAATCAACATGAATCCACCCCTATATTTGATACAGTGTTTTTTTTGTAGTTTTCTGTTAGTATTATAAACAATCCCATCAGATTATTCATGTTCTCGGAGTCCAATGTTTGGAAAAAAGCACACTTTTAGACCTTTTTAGCAGACCTATTATTCAGTTTCAATTAATTAAGAGAGCCAGACTGAACGCATATCGTATAGCAAGACATTGCTGGGGACACAACGCAACAGCTTTCCCCCTCTCGTATGGTCTTTGTGTTGTGAAAAACGCTGAGTTTACACACTGTTCACCTTCACACATGCTTTTCCTCCGCAGTCACTGAACAATGAGCAAACGGGCAGCTCTCAAAACAGACAGGTGAGATAGAACAGGAGATTTGAGAAGGTTACCAAAAATGTGTCAGACTCAATGGGCTGCGTCTCAAAACATAGCCAGCAGCCTAGCTTAGACTGTCCTTTTGCTGTTTTTGCGCAGTTTTGAGGCTCTCATGCTGCCTAGACATGTTCAGCTGACTCAAGAAGAAGAAATTGCACTCTAGAAAGGTAGAACACTAGGGTTTGACACACGGCCACATCATACCTGCATTGCCGTAGGACCTCGCCAGCAGCCACCCGACACTGGCGCAGATTCTGGCTCTGCTCGAGTCATACTGATCCAACGGCTTTATGTCCGGGACCACAAAAGTCTTCTTCATTGCATTCGAGTCCACCATAGCAGGTCCAAAACAGAACGGGCCGGGAAAACAGAGGCGAGAAATGAAACAAAAATCAAACGCTCATCCTTTTCTTTCACGCGACCACAGCACGGCCGATGATTCTGGTAACGTTAGCGTTCCGGCGGAAAAAAAATAAAGTAATTCACAATTTATTCCTCTTTAGGTCTTCTTTTTTAATACATCCAGTACAGCTGACGGGTTATATGGCTGTTTTAGTCTATCGGAGCGACAAATTCAGCGATATTCCAGGGGATGTTTCACTATTTTCGACCCCGCTTCAGAGTCCACATCGCTCTAGCTGATACGCTCCGGACTGATTTCCAGTACTACTCCATACTCCTGTCAATCATCCGCCGGGCGTCCAATCAGGTGTCAGCGA